TCCCTGAGGAATTCACACTGTTGTGGCTGGGTGACTTTGGACCTGGGGGTTCAGTCTGGGAAGATTCTTGCTATAGGTTGTGGGTAATAAACATAGCTGAACTGATTTTGCATTGTCTCTTGGAGTTCTTTGGGCTAGGCCTGACAGGAGCACTCACTATAGTCAGAACTAGCCACACTGGGCCTGCACATTGCCAAAATGAATTAAGGTAACTTGTTATTACCTGCTGACTTTAAAAGAAAGCCCAACCTGTATCAACACCTTTACTTTCCATTCTGATCTACTTGTCACTGAAGTAGGTGAAGATGCATAATACCTACACCTTGACTTACATGATTCTCCATTGGACCATCAATTATTCTAAGCCAAGGTGTATAAGCATGACTTCTTTTTTGAGGGGTAGAGGGGAGTCAGGAGTAAATAAACTGAATCAAATAGATGAACCATCTCCTTGATCCTGTAATTTAGTGACTGGGTATCTTTTACACCATATGGAATTAATAAATCAAAGGGCTCAAAGGGCCCCTTTTCCCCAGATTCCCTAGATGGGAGATAAATTAGATGCAGGTGCTTGCTATATGAGATTAACCCACTGGTATTAATCCACTGGTATGTGCTTGCTATATGAGATTAATCCACTGGTTCAGAATAAATGGATTCATAATAATCCCAATGGGTAGTGAAGCGGTTTGTCATGCATTGTCAAAATCATCACGAAGTGCTAGTTGATACAGTAAAGTCCTAAAACCTTTGGGGTACCTTCCTTGGGAAAACTTATGAAAATGGATTGCTATGTATTACTGCTGCTTTTTTGTGTTTTGTTTTAGGAAACTTGGAATTGTGCAAACTTTCTGATAAAAATGTAAATGCCATTTTTTAAAAATAACTTTCCTGCCCCCACGTATGTGTTCATAGGTTACGTTACCAAGGATACTTTGGCGGTGTAACTGCTCTGACAAGGGAGCAATTTCTGAAGGTGAATGGATTTTCAAACAACTACTGGGGCTGGGGAGGAGAGGACGATGACCTCCGGATCAGGTAAATTTCAGTCAAATGCAAAGTGGGTGGTATGGGCTGTGGGTGACAGGAATCTTTTCTCTGGTATGACTCATATCTTACTTAAGGCAAATTATCTTAAGAGAGTCTGCAAACTGAGATCAGAGTTGGTATGCAAGAAGCCTAATCAGAAATATGAAACAGTTTTGACTTTTTTAAAATCTGGAAGCCCAGTCACTAACTAGGATTGACTTCACTTACATGAGATGATTTTCTTAAGACTGCTTGGCATAACCACAAACTATCTTCATGTTACATGTTTTAATCACCTCCTTGCACCTGGATTATTTCATGTTTCCTTTTCTGTGAAGCAGCATGAAAGTAATGCTACCCTCTTAGTGCAAGATGGGGTAGTTCAGCAACAGATACATAATAATTAAATCATTCAAAATGGTGCAGATTTATGGGAACCTATAATGCAACTTTAGGTTAATGTCTTAGGCTTGTTCTAGTACCTATCTGCATACTACCATAATTGCCTTTTGCAGAACAAAACAACTGCTTTTGGGGGCGGCAATACAATTAGGAGAGGAATCTTCAAACAAACAAACAAACAAACAAACAAAAAACCTCCAATTTATTTAAAAAAGAATTCAGCTGCCATCATGCCAAAATTAGATAGAAGAGTTGTGCTAAGTGTTCAGAAGGGATGGTTCACAAATTATGTTAGTGCAAACATTAAACACTTCTTGAAGCATTAAAGTGGCAGCATCTTTTAGAAGGTTTGTGTGACTGCTTTGAAGGCTGTTTCTGGCTGTTTGTGCATGTGCTTCAGACGATTATGGACCATTCATGGGAAAACAAGAGACAGCCTTTAGAGCAGTTGTGCAGGGCTTCTGAAGTGGCTGAGAATTGGTAGTCCAACTAGAAGGATCTCGCCGATCTGGATGAAAAAAACACTAAACAATATAGAGCTCCAGTAAAATGAATACGATGATAAAATCTCTCTGAGTGAAATTTCTGATGTGTTTTTCTGATTTTGTTGGCTCTGCATTTCAGCAAATGTAGTGTTTAGACTTTGTTCATTCTGTTTGCCTTTTTCCCTAAAGGTCAACAGAACTGGGTTTTGCAAGAAGATAAATACTTAGTGTTCAGAGGGAAGGATAGTACAGTCCTTATTTTTAAAAGAAAGAATGCTAAAAAGTGCTATTCTAGGATCAAGAAGCTTGGATCATGCTTTGTCTGCTTTTGTCTGTTTTTCATTCAATAAATTATACCAGCCTTTCCCAATCTGGTGCTTTGCATATGTTTTGGAATTATAAGTCCCAGAATTGTCTCAACACATCTGGACAGCACTTGTCCAGTGTACACTGGAGCAGATAAGGACACTTCCATCACCCTCCACTAGTCAATCCATTCCGGGTTAATTTGCAGATGGATTGGTATTGCTGAAATTAATCTACTCTTGGCCATTGAATCCAACCTCCTGTTCAGTGTAGCAATCCATTTTGAAACATCCTCAACATAGTTATTAAATCTGTTCGACCATATCAGTGACAAGGAACAAACCACCTCCCTACGAACTGATTCCATTCTCAAACTTCTGGTCACTATTATACAGTGGGGCAAAAAAGTATTTAGTCAGCCACCAATTGTGCAAGTTCTCCCACTTAAAAAGATGAG